AGGAGGCCCCACTCGTGCACCTGGACTCAGCAGAATCCCACCACACCCCCCAGCTCTAGCATTGCTGCCATTCCACGAGGGGGCTGCAGAGGTTGACGACCCAGAGCTGACATTTGTGGGAACCAGCTTTGTGGGGACCAGCATTGCTGAATCTTTGTACTGGGGAAAACCCGAGACTTACTGTCCCATCAGGTTACTGTATATTCTCATTTATGATGCAGCCTCGTGTGGGGCAGCACAGTGAGCCTGCCCTTCCACTGAGCACCATCGAGGCAAGAATGAGGGCCCCGTCAGTTCCCAGGGTTGAACCAGAGTCCAGGCAGCCTGGGTTTAATGGCCAAGGATGCCCTGGGACTCAGGGTAATCAGGTGGCTGAGACCCCGGGCTTCAGGTCATTAGACTGAATAGCACACCCTTCACCTGTCTGCTGTGCTGTTCTCCACAGGCTGCTTCACTGCTCTGCCTCCGTGTTCTCATAGGCCCTCGGGGATAATACTGTCTTCATGGGAAATAAACATCAAACACGATAAAGAGCTTAGCACCGTGTCTGACGTGTAGCATGTGCTCAATGAATGGGAGGTACTGTGGGGCAATGGTGCAGACCAGGCCACACCAGGGACCAGGGCCTTGATAGAGAAAAGGTGGTGAAGGACATGATGGGATAGCAAGGACACAGAGACAGGAGGGGAGAGGCCTCCTGTACCTCTGGGGACATCGCTGCCCCTCTTTTCTCCCTGTAAAAGCCACTTCTGTCTCTTTGGCAGGGGGTCTGGGAAAACAAAATCAAGCATCTTCTCATCTCGCTGGATTCCACATGGGTATACAACCCCTAAATCTTTTAACCTCTGTGCCAAGGTGCATCAGGAAGCTGGGTGCAGGAAGGCTGCCCTGTCTGTCCACCCTCTGCCATCCCCGAAGTAGGGAAGTGTGGTTCTCTTAGGGATTCTGAGTACATGGCTGCCTGGTGTCCAACCAGTGGGGCTTCATGAAGTTTTCTCTACAAGGTGATGGGAGGATAAGAATTGAAAAAAAATGTTTTTTTGATTGATTTTAGAGAGAAGAAGGGAAAGGGAGAGGGAGAGATAGAAACATCAATGAGACAGAACATTGATTGGCTGCTTCCTGCATGCCCCTCAATGGGGTTTAGACCCTCAACCTGGGCATGTGCCTTGACAGGGAATCAAACTGGAGACCTGTTGGTGCAGGGGTCCCTGCTCAACCACTGAGCCACACCAGTCGGGCAAGGAGGATAAAGATTTATCTTCCATTTATCACCTTCAAACCTCCCAGCTCTTCTAGAAAGTGGGCCTCTAGTGGGGCCAGATGTTACTGCAGATTGCAGAGCATTTGCAAGTTTATAGGTTTTAAAAGGTCAGGCTCTTTTGTGGTAAAAGTTTTACAGATCAGTAAAAATTTACTGCCAAAGACGGGAACACAGCAGTATGAAAAAGGCTGGAGCCAGGAGTCCAGAGGATGTCAGCTCCATCCATCACGACCTGGGGGCCTGAGCCATGTCACCAAGGCTCTCTGGACTCTGTGTTTCAATGTGGAAGATGGGAGCAAGAAAAGTGACATGGATGGACGGATGGGCGGGCGGGTGGAAAGCTCTTGGCACACGTGAGAGAGTACAGCCCCCTTCCCTGGGTGCTGGGAGCAGCTGGTCACAAAGGGAGGCCCAGGCCTGTGGGTCTTGCAGCCTTGAGCTCTTCATTACCCACCTGGATTGCTGCCAGCTGCATGTCTGCCTCCACTCCCTGGGAGGAGCCTGGCCTTCTGCAGCTGGAGCTCAGCAATCAAATTAGTCCTGCCTCTGCTTCTTCCTGATCCCCGCAGGCCAATGGGAGTTCATCACGGCCTGGAACTAATTTGTGTTTAAAAGGGGCAAAAGTGATTCCACAGTTTTATTGGAGGCAATTTACACCCCGCCCCTGGCCACAGCTCCCACTCCGCATGTCTGTTGTGCCATCAAGTCCACCAACAGGACATTTCTTCGGGGGAAACTTGGTTGCTGCTCCAGCAGAGGCACACAGGTCCAGCATCTCCATGCATCTTGCTCTAATCCTGTTACCCAAGTAGCTCATTCTCTAATGCACACGCCCTGCCAAAGACATCCCTCCTTCCCGAGCACAGCTGGGCAGTCCCAGGGGTTCCAGGGGCTCAGTGCAGACATGAAGGCATGGGCCCACGGAACAGGGTGTCTGGGCTTTCGCACTGCCCCCGATGGCTCCCAGCACATGCCCGTGGCAGGCCCTCTGCTCCACAGTGTGGAGAGTCTGCTCCCCAGACTTCCTTATGGGGAGGAGTGAGCACAGTCAGGCACCCAGGTCCATAGCTCAGACCCTCCTGCTGCTTCTGCCTCCTCCTCCTTCTCCTTTCTTCCTTTCCTCCTAGTGTTCCTCCTCCTTTCTCCCCTCTTCCCTGCCTTTTTCACTCCTCTCTTCCTCCTCCGTTTCCTACCAATGTTTCTTCTTTTCTCATTTTTCTTTTATGTTTTACTTCTCTCCCTCCTCTTCTTCAGATGCCCCGTTTTTTATAGTTTTGCCTCCTGTTTCTTTCACCTCTTCTCGCCCTTTCCCTCAGCCCTGGCACTGCCCGGTCGGAGCTCGTTGGGTGCCTGGTGCCTTTTGCTGCCTTTGGTCTCCGCAGGCTGCGCTCCGTGGAAGGAATGGGCCCCGGCCACCCTGGCCTCTGCTTGGAGCGAGATGGGGGAGCGCCCCTTGGGGATGCCCAGGACCAGGTGGGGGCTGCGTTAGAGTGGGGGAAGGAGTGGTTACGTGTCTGCTTGCTCTTTGATGATGAAACAACTATAATAAAACCCCATGAGGTTTGTTGCTGTCATGTGAAGGGAACCCACCAAGGAATGGTACAATGCTATAAGCAGATTTCATCATGTAAGCGGACAAGAAAAGAAAGCCGTCTAGCCCTGGCCGGTTTGGCTCAGCACTTAGAGCGTCAGCTTGAAGACCAAGGAGTCGCAGGTTTGATTCTGGCCAAGGGCACAAACCTCAGTTGCAGTTCAATCCCCAGCTCTGGTCGGGGTTGTGCAGAGGCAACCAGTGGATGTGTCTCTCTCATGTCGATGTTTCTCTCTCTGTTTCCCCCTGCCACTCTATCTGAAGATAAATGAAAAATATCCTTGGTAAGGGATTAAAAAAAAAAAAAAAGGATGCTGTCTAGAAATCTGCAGCAGGTTTCGAAGTGGTAGTGGAGGAGAGTGAGCCTGAGCCTGAACGTGCTGTTCATCCCTCTGATGTGGGCTCGAGCTGGTGGGAATCCACAGGCCCTTCGAGGCCCCGCCCGCCTGGAGGCCCACAGCACTGCTTCTTCCTGCCTTGTGCTGCTGTCAAGCCTGGAGTCAGGGCACATTTTTCAGGGTAGAGGGTCTTGACTCTAAATTCTCTAGTAGTTTGGGGCCCCCTATTTCATCCTTTTTCTACCACTTTTTCTCATTTCTATTCCCTCAAAAGGAATTCTCAGAGCTGGTTTTCCTTGTTTGTCTAGATTGTGCAGTGAGGGAGCACATGACCTATAGGAGGGTGGTGCAGGCTCCTTGAGCTTGACTGAGCATCCAAGGCCAAACCCTGGCTAAAGGGCCAGGTGAAAGGACCCGTCTACGAAGGGTGTGATGCACCTGAATAAAGGGAGAAATTCACACCAAACCAAAATGGACTTACTTCTGACCCAGGTGGGCTTCTTTTTACTTAACCGAAATTCAGAAAATTCTTTCTTCTTGCAGTGTTCTCAGCCTATTCTAGCCTACGTTCAACAGGAATGGGGTTCAAAGGAATGCGATGTTCTGTAACTGAAGCTTGCTATGCCTGCACTTGGGTCAGGTGTATTTCACCTTGAAAACACCCGAGACAGAAAGTCTACATCTACTCTAACAGTGATGTGGGGGTGGGACACCTCCAAACCTGAATGTAAATCTCCAACAGTTCTTTCAGACAACTTGGGGGCACCCAGCTGGGCAGCTGAGGGATAGATACTTGCCTATTTTACTTACCAAAAAAGAAAATAAAAAACACTTATTTCAAGAAAACCACGTTTAAAGGAAAAGCATTGCAACTGCACATGGAATGATATTACCCAAAAAAGGGTGGCAGAATAAGAATTTATATGTGTGGTACACTTACTTTATTTCATATTGTTTTAGGTGGAAATTTTAGAGAATATATACCAAAACATGAACAGTGGCTGTCTCTGGGCTGTAAGTAAACCTATGGATGAGTTTCATTTTTCTTCATTTTTTCTATAATGAGCATGTATTGCTATTATATCTTAACTATATATATTTACTTTGTAAAATAAAAAATACATAAGTTGTATAGTATAGAAAATAATTGTATAGTATAAATATATCTATTACTTCTTGAATACTCAGTATGAATATTTAGATGAGGACAATGAGCAGACATAAGTCTCCTGTCCCGTTTCTGTCTGCAGAGATGCCCAGTCACCTGCTTAGCTGGGGCACTGTGTCACCCTGAGGAGCAAGAGAATGGCCTTCTGCCCCTCCCTCCTCACCCCACTCAGCCCCAGCCCAATGCTGGGAAATATATTTGCCGTGGGACATACATGAAGACCACTGCCTGGAGCACCTCCCAGCAGACAGAGTGCACCCTTGCTCCAGGGGCTCCTGCAGCCCCCTGGCCCCAAGGTACCCCTTGGGGAAATTAGCAAAGCCACCTGGCAGGACTGATGGACTGAGCTTCACTGAATGACATCAGCTGACCGGGGTTCCCTCCCAGTGGTTTCATCCCCTTCCCTCCCACCCTGAAACCTGATTCAGCTGACAGATTGACTGTGAAAAATCTTGGCAGCTTCCCAGACCTGGTGGCCCAGGCAGTGGGAGGCTGCAGCCTCAGAAGATGCTGGGAGCAGCCTGGGGAGGCAGGCTGGCTGGGACATGAGGTTGGCAGAGGGTAGACAGGCTGGCCCTCGGCGGGACTCACCCTGAATGCCTGTCCACTCTAAGGCGCCCACGCCGTGGGAAGGTCACCATGCTGCTGTGGGTCCTGCAGGCGCTGTTGCTCTGCTTCTGCCCGTGCTCCCCACGCAGGGAGAAGGTAAGGTGGTGGGGGGGGACTTGGCTGGCCACCTGCCGAGGGGTAACAGGGGATGCTCAATTCCTCCCAGGGTTGGGGGAAGTGGGGTTTGGAGTGGGTACGGCTGCAGGAAAGTCAGGGATCTCACTACATATGAGCACGTGAACATTCTGAGGCACTGTGGTCCAGTCAGAAAGTTGGGGAGGTTGAGCCCGGGTGAGAGCAGGGCTTGCTGAGAGGGATACAGAGCCACCTACTGTATGGGAAATGCAGAGACAGGTGCAGGTGCAGGTCCTCTCCTCTGCCCTGCCCCTAAACTCACCAGAGGCAGCTTCAAGGCCCCTTCTTGTTGTCAACAGGAAGGCTGTGGTCCAGTGAGGGGAAATGAGGGACTCAGGGCGCACGGCTTGTGGGCGGCAGCGTGGAGACAGAATAAGCGCAGTCCTCCTTCCTCGGCTGCACTGGTTCTGTTGCAGGCTTTCTCCGGGTCTTTGTTTCCTAAACTTTCCTTCCAGGGCCAAACTCCAGTGACACCAACACTTCCCTGCATCCCCGCCCATCCTTTCCTGCCTCCCCTGTGGATACGGGGTGTTTAAGTCACAAAAGGACCCATGGCCTTTTCCGAAGATGATGTTCATTCCCCTTGCCCAGAGCTGGCTGAGCTGGGGCTTGTACTGCTGCTCCTTCCCGTGAGCTGGCGCTGGGGAGCTCCGCAGGACAAGCAGCCCAGCTGGAAGTTACCACTGTTCTGGCTTCCTGGGCTGGAGAGAAGCTCTGTCCCTCCCAGGATGGCCTTTGCTCTGACCTTTGAGACCCAGTCTGGTCCTCTCCAGACAGGTCCGAATCCCAGACAACAGGATCGAGCTGGTGTTGCTGTAGTGAAGACACATAGGGCTCTGGGTTTGAATGTCAGTGATTCCACCTGCGGGGCACAGTACTCACCTTCCTGAGCCTGGGGGATTCTTATCTGTAAAATGGGCTGGGCTAAGACTGAAATGAGTGATGTGTTAGCTGATGCTATTCCAAAGGAAACACTCAATACATGCTCTCCCGTCTCTCCTCTCTTTCTGCTCCGCTCTGGAGGGGAGCTGGACCAGGGACAGGCAGGTGGAAGCAGGAAGGGAACCATTGGGACACATCTGCTGCACAGGTGCACACAGACAGACAAGATGAGAGAAGAGGCAGTCTTGCTTAGAGAAAACCAGGCCTGCTGTGACCTGGTCTCACCCTGTCTGTCCCCTCAAGGCCTTGCAGCCTGTACCCTGATCCTCTGGGTGCTCCCCTTCCTCACCCTATGCCCTCCCCTTCATATTTCTTGGCATCTTTTGGGAAGTCATCAACTATTCCCCAGAAGGATATCGGAGATGCACACAAACTCCCCATTGAATGGGGCTTGGGCCTAGGAGTTGGGTTTTCTCATCATTATTTGGGCCTTGCAGGCCTCCTGCTCTGGGAACAATTTGGTTTCTCCTTGCTTCCTCCACATCCCACCCCAACCCTCTTCCTAACCCCATCAGATTGCCCACATAGCAACCCTGCGAAGGGCCTGGCAAACCCTCCCCCAGGAGTTGGTGCCACGTGGAGAGGGGGAGGGGAGCTCCTTGGGGTGGATTTTGCAGGAGGGAGAGGAGAGGGCACTTGTCACTGGGTGCCCACCCTTCCTTCTTTGTCAGTTGCAGGCCGGGGTCAGGGTGACAATGAGCTGCATGGACACTGAGATCTGACCTCGACTGAGGCAAATACTCATGCAGGCCTCTGGGCTTAGAAACTGAGCTCTTGGAGCCACTGTTTTTGTACCCCTGTCATCTTCCAGAATCTCACACCCAGCATGAGCTCCCCTTGTTTCCCAGGGCCCCTCAGCCAGGGCCCCACAGGCTCCTCTCTGGGCAGGTATCTGCTGCCCACCTTCATCGACCCTCGGCCACCTTCTGACCTCACCTGTCCTGGGTGCCTTCTCTCACAATCCAGCCCTCTATCCACATAAACAAATGTGTAGCTTTCCCTTATGAGAGACTACCTTTGAATTTTGGCAGGAATCTCTGCAGACAACATGGTAATTTCTGTGGGGGGGTACCTGGAAATTTGGTGAGGCGGGGATGGTGAGGACACCTTACTTTAATGGCTTCAAGCCATGGTGAGAGAAGCAGTGACTCAGCTTGATGTCCACGTTGAACTGCTCTCCTTCCCAGCCAGGTGCAGGGGATGCCTCCAGGCCCATAACATCTCCGGGCCTGCTCTGCAGAGGCTGTCGGATCACCTCCTGACCAACTACAGGAAAGATGTGTGACCCATGTGGGACTGCAGGAAGCCAAGCACCATATCCATTGACATCATTGTCTACGCCATCCTCAGTGCGGCAAGCACAGCGCCAGTATGGCCCCAACTCAAGGGAGCAGACTGGGGTTGGAGGCCATGTGAATCCCAGTCCCCCTCTCGGCAGCATTGTGGACATCCGGGTGCCCACAGTACCTGTGGTCTAGCACCATGGCTCAGGGCACACTGCAGCACCCACCATCTGCAGAGCGGCCCAGACCAGGAACTGGGGTCACCCGTGCACTGCCTCTCCCACAGCCAATGGTACCGCATGCCTGTGTCATGGCACCATGTCCCTATGTGAGCTGAGGGTTCAGCCTGTCCTGTTCATTGCTGTGCCCTGTATTACACAGGTTCCTGGTACGTGGTGGGTGTTACTTGACGGTTGTTGAAGAGTTTATCATAAATCAAATAATTAATTGATACTTTCATTAATGACAGTAGCAGGAGGTTGGACATTCTACAGAGATAAACCAGGAGGCAAATGCAGAGATGCAGAGATAGGGGCATTGTGTTGGGTAATGGGGGGAACTCACTTCATTCTCTACTACAGTCCATGTGGCTGTTTGGGAAGGGAAGTTGGGAATTGGATAGGAACAGGGAGTGTGAATTTTTCACTCATTGTGACCTTGTACCTCTTGACTTCACACTAGGGCAGGAGATAGATATACACATATATAGAGATAAAAGATATTGTTATATATGCCTTGTATTATCTTCTATTATGTTATGTGTAACATATAAGTAAAATATATACAATATGCATGACATAATAGAAGCGTGTATGTGTTTTGTTTTGTTTTTTGGTATGTGCCCCTAGCGGGAACCGAACCCGGGACTCTCTGGTCTGCAGGCCAATGCTCCAACCGCTGAGCCAAACTGGCCAGGGTGTGTATATGATTCATGAAATCACTGTACTTCTCTCTAGCTGTAACCTAGTAAGAGACCGACTTGTCCTGGCTGGCCCCTCTCCCTGCCCCTTTGCTTCACTCCCACTTCCCAAGGAAATAGAGAACAATGCAGGAGCTCCTTCTGGGGTTTGTGTGCACAGGGTGGACCCCTAGCCCACAGGGCCACCTATGCCAAGCTCCCTTTCCATTCCCGGGATGAGAAGAACCAGGTACTGACCACCTACATCTGGTACCGGCAGGTGAGCAGACCAGCTCCCCACTCTGCCTCATTTCCCGGGACGGGACTTACTCTCCAGGAAGGTTCTCCACTTCCAGGTGCAGGAACCTCAGAGGCCTTGGTGAGGGAGGGGGGGGGTTCAGAAGTCTGGACTCCCTACCTTGGGCCTGGGAATGGAAGGAAACGGGAAGATCAGTGGAGGAGAAATCCCCCGAACACCTCTGGGTTCTGAAGTTCTGCCTGGAATCCCAAACAAGTGGATATCCAACCTCCAGACACCTCCCGTGCCAGGGAACTCAGGAGGCAGCTACCTCGCATTTAAAGGGTTCTATTTACTAGAAACATCTTCTTTGTATTAAGCCCAATTGGACGACAACCAAATTGGGTGATTGAAACAGGATGAATCCGTCCACTTAGTCTTGCCATCCTTGGCCATTTCCCGCCTCTTCCAGCTTCTGCCGGGCTGTGGTCAAGCACTGCGTGTGGAACCCCTGAGGCCAGAGCGGCATTTCTGGCTTGGAGCTGGGGGGCCGGTCAGGCAAACAGAGGAGGCTGCTGTCCGCAGGGCTGTCCTGCCTGGTAGCCCCTGGGTGTGTGGGGAGGTGTCAGAACAGAGGGGAAGCCAACACGGCTAAAGAGGGGGTGCAGGGGGTGAGGACAGTTCACAGAGGTCAAGCCTGAGAGAGTCTGGGGTGCCTGGTATTCATGGGCCTCTGTTAAATCCCTCGGCTCTTCCTGGACACACACCACAACCAGCTCGTGGGACAGGAAGTGGGGTGAAGCAAGAAGCCAGATACTGAATCCTGACACACTGCTCTCTTCTGCCTCAGAGAGACCCCTAAATACAGAGCACACCTGCCTCAGGGAAGGGCCCCACGCAGCACTAGGCTTCCTGAAGCTCCTTTCCTGGGACATGCCTGGGTCCCACCTCTGGCCCTGCAGGGGCGCTCGTCTGCCCCAGCAGTGAGAGGGTGCCAACCTACGATGTGCTGAGGGACTGGAATCAGAGACACAAACTAGACTCGGGCCCTGCGCACAGTGAGCTCAGGCTGGTGCAGACCGTGGACACGGAACAGATCATTCCATGCAGCCGCCTGAGGCAGCAGGCAAGGCGTCAGCCACGGAACACAGAGGAGCACGTGAACCCTCCAGGAGAGCGGTTCACAGAGGCTCCTGGAGAAAGGAGTAGACAGGCACCTTGGTTACGGACTCTGGGAGGGAGGGTAAGGCTCACCTTGATGAAGAAGACAGTGCAGGTGGGAGAGGGGCAGCGTGTAGAGGGACGTGGAGTTCCCACAGCGTGTCGTCCTGCGTGGCTGAGTGCAGGCTCCACAGAGCAGGCGCGTGGGGGGCTGGTTAGGGAGGCCTTGCTGACCGTGGGGTCTAACTTTACCCTAGTCCAGTGAGGCTGCACCAAAGAATTTTTGGGGGTTTTTTGGTTGTTTTTCTTGGTACATGCCCCTAGCAGGAACCGAATCTGGGACTCTCTGGTCTGCAGGCTGATGCCCCAACCATTGAATCAAACTGGCCAGTGCCACACCAAAGAATTTTAAGCAAGAGAGTAACATGATAGGATATCTATTTTATGTTTCTATACAATTGGGATTATCTATTATATTCTGCTTTATAACCTTTTCAATGTGTGTTCTCTTTGTTTTTTTCCCTAATGATTTGAAAGACATATTCTTATTTTAATCTAGCCAGGCTGGTATTAAGTTCACATTATTTTGTTTAATTATTGGTGATAATAAACATCATCTATTAACTTCCAAAGCACAGCACCCCAGTATTTAGTATGCCAGTCCTCACAGCCCACTCCCGCTGACTTACCTTTTTTCCCCATGTTTTCAAATAGACTGTGAAATGTGAAATGAGTATACTCATTAGAGAACAATGCAGGAGCTCCTTCTGGGGTTCATGTGTGCAGGGTAGATTCCTAGCCCATGGGGTCTTGCCAGAACGACTGATGTAAATAGAATATTCACGTCAGTCATTCTGGTAAGAGAGCATTGATAAAAACTTCACAGTAACCATCTCCACCGTGTGAGGTCCACGCTATTATTCCATTTACATATGTGCAAACCAAGACCCGAGATGCTATTTGTTGCGGATCCCTCCGCTGGTGGGTGGGGTTAGAACATTACTAATGACTGAATGCTTCCCCGGGAGAGGCTGCGTCTGTCTGCATTGTGTTTGCACGTGGGGAGTGCCTGAGTACAAAGGTGGGGGACTCCTGGGTACTGCTGAGTGCTTTGGGTGCCACTGACACAAGATTCCCCAGAAGATGCCGACCTGTCTCCTGGGCCCTGAGTGGTGACGTTGGCCCGAGGCAGAGGGGCCCCCTGACGGGCCCTGCTCCTTCCCTAGTACTGGACTGACGAGTTCCTCCAGTGGAACCCCGAGGACTTCGACAACGTCACCAAGCTGTCCATCCCCACGGACAGCATCTGGGTCCCGGACATCCTCATCAACGAGTTGTGAGTACTGTCGCCGGTACCGCGGGCTGAGGAAGGCGGGGCAGGGAGACCAGACCACAGCCTTGCGTCTGCGGTCTCAGCCAGCCTTGTGGAGCAGGAGGTAAAGTTAGCGTGGCCCCAAATTTCCTGTTGTATTTTCCTTTCTTTTTCTTTTTAATGCTTTGTGTTGAAACTGCACTTTTTCTATGCTTGGGCCCCTCCCTGGGGAAGGGCAGCCAACTGCCTTCCCCCCATCCTTCAGGTGCCTTCAGGAGCCAGTGCCTGGGCCTCTGAGCCTAGTGCCGAGAATAGGGCTGGGGAGACGGGTGGAAGGAGAGGGTGGAGGGGCCGTCACCCTCCGACCAGGGACCACTGCACTGCCCACTCTAGGGGGTACTCACACTGTTTAATGAGGGCAGTCGACCTAGAGCCTCGTGCCCTGCATAGTGAATAGAGCTCTCATCTCTCAGCCTGATGCCCAGAAGGCCCCAGGCTCAGACCACTGCATGCCACAGTGGTCACTTGGGAGACCCTGGGGGTCAAGGATCTGCTGAGATAGCAGAACAAAGTCTTTCCCACCTTGCCCCAATTATTCTCAATGATTCTTCTAGTTCCTTTTCCTCCAGAGATGATTCATCTCATTTCACAAGACTTCTAACATTGGGAAGCCAAGAGCAGCCCAAGTCAGGATGGGACCCACCAAGCCTGCCCATCGCCCAGCCCAGTGGGTGGCAGTGTAGGGAGAGCTGGGCGTGGTCCTTAGAGTCGGTGGCCTCTGGGGTCCATGGATCCTCGCCAGCCTTTTGTGGCTGGGTTGCCAGGGGAATAAAGAAGTCCCTTTATTCAGGAACACGTGGAAAGTAGCCTTGACAATGGCAGGTGAGGACGCCTAAGACAGATAAGAAGGTTAGAAAGCGTGAGTCCAGAAAAAGCTGTCCTGCTGCCTAGACCCTCCCTGAATTTCTTTCCCTGCTGGGTTGCTCAGAGACCTTCAGATTCCCAGGGCTTGACCTGCTTCTTGAGCCCCAAACTGACCCCTCTTCCCTGGCCAGTGTGGACGTGGGGAAGTCTCCGGATATCCCGTACGTGTATGTCCGGCACCATGGTGAGGTCCAGAACTACAAGCCCCTGCAGGTGGTGACCGCCTGTAGCCTGGACATCTACAACTTCCCCTTCGACATGCAGAACTGCTCGCTGACCTTCACCAGCTGGCTGCACACCAGTGAGTAGATGGTTTCGGAGGCGGGGCGCAGGTTGGGGGCTCAGGGACGAGAGTGAGGAGCACATGCTGGATGCTGTCTCCCGTATCCGACTTACTGACCACTTTCGAATGCCGCTGAGCCTGTTTCCTTATCCTGCAACAGGATTGAGCTGGTTGCCCTCATGTCTCCCCAGTGGTCATACTGGCTGAATGAGACCTTGTAAACTGACTGCAAGACACTCGGTAAGGCCAGTTCTTTGGGTCACTAACAGGAGCTGGCCCTCGATGTCTCTCAGAGCCACCCCTTCCCTCCACTGACGCAGCCTCCCCCCAATCAGGCCACCCTGATCTCATGCCCAGGTTTCTGCAGAAGCTTCCTAGCTGGTCCCCCTCCAGGTCATGCTCCTCACAGCAAACAGATCTTGTTAAATGCAAATCTGCTGAAAACCCTCGGTGGCTTCCCAGCATTTCCAGGACAGAATCCAAACCCGTTAGCTGGACTCAGGGCCCTGCAGCCCGGCCTGGCCCACAGCCCACTGCTCCCGCCTCACCTCCCGCGCGCTCCCCTGAGACCTGCTCCGGCCCCGCAGCCTCCTTCCCAGGCACCAAGTGCCCGTTCTTCCTTGGCACATGCTGCTTCCTCTTCTACGCCACCTTGCCCCCCCCCCCTCCGCTTTCCTTCTTGTCCCTCCTCTGCCAACCACACGTGGGTTGGCCACTCCTCGACTCACCTTTGAATCACAGCCTCATGGTAATTCCTGGGGGGAACCCCCTCTCAGCCCCCAGACTAGGCATCACCACTGCCCAATAGTATAGCCTCCCGTTCGATTCCTCCTCTACTGCATCTGTAGGCCCTTGTTCAATGCCCACTTCTCTGGATAGGAGCTGAGAGGGCCGGGACGTGATTTCCGACCCACCTTTAGGTGCCCAGCCCAGAGGAAGGTGGATGAACTCCAGGTGCTCACTAAGGTCTAGTGAAGTGAGCCCCAGGCCGCTGCGGAAGGCACCTCCGCTGCCCTTCTGATGGCATTGCAGTCGCCACAAGTGACGCAGGGAACACGCAACTCCCTGAACCGAAACCAGAATTACAAATCATCTCTGACCTTTGCTCTCTACCCTCATTCCCAAACTCTTCACCAACTTCCCACACCAAGGCCTAACCTCTTCCAGTGGTATACACTTCATGCCGTAGGTCCTTCCAGGTCCTTCTCCAGTCTTGGTGTATACACACATACATCTACGTCCATGGAAAGTACATGGACGTTATTCCATGGGTCTTTGTTACATAAATGCATCATCGATGCCACTGCTGCTTGGTTCTTTTTACTCAGCAGCAGGTCTGGGCCATTTTCCCAGTCAGTGCAGTGTGGATCTCCCTCATACATTCCGGCTGTCGCAGAATCTCCCGTGGTTTGGAGGCATCAGAGTTTGTGTAGCATTTTCCTGATGGATGGGCATTTAGATCTTTCCCACTATTCTGCTGCGGTGGATACTCCTGTCCCTGCTGCACACGAATGTCTGTCTCTGGAGTAGACACAGAGATGCTAAGCTGTTACTGCGTAAGCCGGGATTTCGCTCGTTCCTAGTTCCGATGGCTCTCTGAAGGCAGAGGCGAAGAGTGTTGACTGTGTTCATTTCCTGAGTGGGTAGTTCTCACAGGAAAACCTAGAAAGGGGTGTGGGGAAGGGTGGCTTTCTAATAGATGGTTTGCTTGGTTCTTTGCATTTTGCTCTGTGCTTCATGCATTGCCCTCGCCGCAGCCCGCTGTGCAGATGGGTGCGGTGTGCACGGTTACCTCCTTGTATAGCTGAGGGAACGGAGGCTGGAGAGCAAGAGCCAAGTGAGCCCAGTCTCTGGGTGCAGCCGCCCTGTGCCCACCACGCAGGGCCTGGCGGGCTCCTCGGGGAGTCCAGAGCCGCCCTCCTCTCTCCCAGTCCAGGACATCAACATCTCCCTGTGGCGCCCGCCGGAGAAGGTGCAGTTCGACAAGAGCGTGTTCATGAACCAGGGCGAGTGGGAGCTGCTGGGGGTGCTGCCCCAGTTCCGGGAGTTCAGCATGGAGAGCAGCGACTGCTACGCAGAAATGAAGTTCTACGTGAGTGGACACGGGTGCGGGTGGGGAAGTCGCAACGAGCGCTGCTAGACCGTCATGCGCAGGTAGACTGAGACGTTCGGGAAAGAACCGCATGCCCTTGCCCATCTCCAGGGGCGCATCCCTTCCTGGATCGCCAGTGAGGTAGACAGGGCAGCACTGAATTGTCCCTCACTTACCCTGGACAGCCACAAGCTGGACCAGAGGCAGAATCTGGGGTCTGTCCATTCCCTCTCTGAACAATCCAGGTTGAAAGCCCTACCGAGCAAGGGGGGCAGGACGGGCTGTGGGTCTTGGACACAGGCCGGTCTGCCCAAGGCTCCCCCAGAGCTCCTCTTGTCCCAGGTGGTCATCCGCCGGCGGCCCCTTTTCTACGTGGTCAGCCTGCTGCTGCCCAGTATCTTCCTCATGGTCATGGACATTGTGGGCTTCTACCTGCCCCCCGAGAGTGGCGAGAGGGTCTCCTTCAAGATCACACTTCTCCTGGGCTACTCCGTCTTCCTGATCATTGTGTCCGACACGCTGCCCGCCACCGCCATTGGCACGCCCCTCATTGGTAAGGCCTGTTGCCGGGGAAGCGCTTGGTGCGGCCCGGGAACCAGGAGCGGACCTCTCCCACCGCCCGTGTGTCCCCCCTTCTCGGCCGGCACAGGTGTCTACTTTGTGGTGTGCATGGCTCTGCTGGTGGTCAGCTTGGCTGAGACCATCCTCATCGTGCGGCTGGTGCACAAGCAGGACCTGCAGCGGCCCGTGCCCGCCTGGCTGCGGCGCCTGGTTCTGGAGAAGGTGGCCCTGCTGCTTTGCCTTGGGGAGCAGCCAACCTTCCACAGGTGTCCAGCCACTTCCCAAGCCACCAAGACCAAAGAGTGCTCAGGTGAGAGGCCGGGCCCGTCTGGCCTGGACGCAGGGCGCGGTGGGGAGTCTCTGGAGAGCTGCAGGAGGGCCCGGCAGGCCGGGGAACGGGTGTCCCTGCACGCGGCACCCCACGCACAGCCGCGGGGAGGGGCAGCCCGAAGCGTCAATCTTTCTGCACCTTCACACGCTCTCATCAGCCAGGAGGGACAGACAGGGCAGGCGGCCCAGGAGCTGAGCTTTCCAGGAGCGGAGGCCTCTGGGCTGAGGGTGGCCGCTCTCTGAGAAGGACCCCGAACGGGGTCAAATAGGTGCCCCTCCGGTGGGTAGCTGACTACCTGCCACATGGTCAGCTGCCGCAGCCCTTCGAATTTTAAATACCGGTGGGGCAGACAGACGGGTGCAGAGCGGGCTCAGCGTGGTCCCCCGAGGAGCGGCACAGCCACCATTTGTCGGCGGTTGTGGCGGTTGTTTGTTGGTCTACTTCTCGGGTACTTTGTGCCAGGCATATGCAAAGCACCCCACCTCGCTCCACCCCACTCTACCCAGCCCTATTCCACCCCACCCCATCCCACCTCACCCCACCCCACCCCACCTCACCTCAGTGCACCCCACTCCACCCCACCCCACCTCACTCCACCCCACCCCATCTCACCTCAGTGCACCCCACTACACCCCACCCCACCTCACTCCACCCCACCCCATCTCACTTCAGTGCACCCCACCTCACCCCACCCCACCTCACCCCACCCCACCTCACTGCACCCCACCCCACCTCACGCCACCCCACCCCACTCTACCCAGCCCTATTCCACCCCACCCCACACCACCTCACTGCACCCCACCTCACTCCACCCCACCCCATCCCACCTCACTGCACCCCACCTCACTCCACCCCACCCCATCTCACCTCAGTGCACCCCACCTCACCCCACCCCACCTCACCCCATCCTACCTCACTGCACCCCACCCCACCTCACTCCACCCCACCCCACTCTACCCAGCCCTATTCCACCCCACCCCATCCCACCTCACTCCACCCCACCCCACCCCACCTCACTCCACCCCACCCCATCTCACCTCAGTGCACCCCACCTCACCCCACCCCACCCCACCCCGGGACAAAGCTCAGTCACTAAAATGCTGCAGCACACCAAAAGATACATTCTTGCTGATTTGACAAAAAAAAAGTATAATTTTGATTCATTCACACCAAATGGCTATTGTGCTGGCTGCTGTCATTTTCCCACTTGACAATCTAAGGGGAAGAATCAGTGCCCTTGACTAAAGAGTCAGGTGTTGCCTGTTTTATTTATTTTTTATTTCTTTTTATCCCCACCCAAGGCCATTTTTGCATTTATCTTCAGATAGAGCGGGAGGGAGAGATGAAGGAAGAGAGAGAGAGAAACATCGATGTGAGAGAGACACATTGACTGGCCGCCACCCACACGACCCCACCTGGGGCCGGGGACAAACCGCAACCAAGGCTCGTGCCCTCGGTGGGAACCAAACCCAGGAGTCCCTGGTCCGTGGGCTGATGCTCCAACAGCTGAGCCAAACCAGCCAGGGCAGGTTGTGCCTGTTTTAAAAATTCTTGCTGGTCCGGCCGGTGTGGCTCAGTGGTTGAGCATCGACCCAGCACCAAGTGGTCGCCAGTTCGATTCCCGGTCAGGGCACATGCCCAGGTTGTGGGCCAAATCCCCAATATGGGGCATGCAGGAGGTGGCTAATCAATGTTCTCTCATCAGTGTTTCTACCTCTCTCTCCCTCTCCCTTCCTCTCTTTCTAAAATCAATAAAGAAAAAAAAGTTTACCCTGGCAGGTTTGGCTCAGCGGTAGAGCATTAGCTCCAGAACCAGTGAGTCATGGGTTTGATTCTGGCCAAGGGCACATACCTGGGTTGCGGTTCCTCCCCAGCCCTGGTTGGGGTCATGCAGAAGGCAACCAGTCGATGTGTCTCTCTCACGTTGATCTTTCTCTCTCTCTGCCTCTCTCTCCCTCCACTCTATATAAAGATAAATGGGAAAATATCCTTGGGTGAGGAGAAAAAAAAGAAAAAAAAATTCTTAAATAAATAAATAGAATTCTTGCAGCACGCCGGCCTTGAAAATTGCTGAGCTAGAGCATCAGCCTAGCACCTAGTCTCACGGCTCACCTGGTGTGTTTTCCGGCGCAGAGGACGCAGTCGAGGGGGGCCATCGAGGCAACGTGCCATCGTGGAGAGAGCGGTGGGTTCAGGGTCCAGCTATCTAGGCCTCACTAGTCAGTGATGCTCCAGCTGTGTGACCACAGGCTACTCACTTAACTCTCTGAGCTTTAGTGCCTTTATACAGAAGTGGATGATAATTACTCCTACTCTGCTCTTTCCTGGGGCAGTGGTGAGGCTCAGATGAAATAATGACAATCAAATTGCTGGGGAAAGTCCATGAGTTAAAAAGAAGTGCTCAGAATGGATAAATACTGTTTATGACGTTGGTGACTTGGGGAGGGGACGGAGGATGGGAGTAAGAGGGGTATGCAGGGATCTTCTATCGCACTGGCTTTCTTAACTTGCTTAAGTTGGATGGTGGGTACACAAGTATGTAAGTTATTCTCAATACTCTCTATGTCTGAAACTGTTCATAATAAAATTTCCTGCTGGGCAAAGAAACGTGCAGGATGGTGCTCAGGTCATCTCCCTCCCTTGCCAATGCTCTGCCCCTTCCTCCAGACATGGGGAACCACTGCGGCCATTTGGGAGGACCCCGGGACGTGGACAGGACGCCGAAGGGCAGAGGCAGCCCGCCGCCCCCGCCGCGGGAGGCCTCCCTGGCGGTGTGTGGGCTGCTGCAGGAGCTGGCCTCCATCCGGCACTTCCTGGAGAAGCGGGAGGAGAGCCGCGAGGTGGCCCGGGACTGGCTGCACGTGGGCTCCAAGCTGGACAGGCTGCTCTTCCGCCTCTACCTGCTGGCGGTGCTGGCCTACAGTGTCACCCTGCTCGCGCTCTGGTCCATCCGGCAGTATTCCTGAGGAGTACAGCCCAGTGGGGGGGGTACAGATTAGGATGAGGATGGGGGAATGTGGGGGGGTGCCAGGGATGTTCTCGAGACACATCGCAGATCCATGCCGGTTCCCAACGCCAGTCTATGCCAAAAGCAAGACCATAACTCTTTCCCCAAAAACTTCATGTTCAAGACCCTCACATCCTCCCCCACCCCACCCCACCTGCCCACGATGGCTTTAAAACATGTCTTAGATCAGAGGAAACCCATGTGTCTGCTAGCTTTGCTCTATATGTCTGTGCATGAAGCCATGTCCCCCCGGCGCCTCCCTAAACAAGGCGCGTTGGAATCCTACGCATCTCTCTCAGCCTTGTGTGGAAGCAAACGGGCTACTGCACGGGCCTGCCCACTGCACTGTTTCTACAACACTAACTTCTTCACCCCGCCTGTGACCCCTTCCCTGGGCACTCCCGTCTCATCAGATCCGGGGGGTAATAAAAGGCAATAAATCCCTAAACTCTCTTCTTGGCCATTTGTCAGGAGCTGAGTGGGTGGATGAAGAGGTTCAAAGGTACTGGTGACAATGAGGTTGGAGAATTTTCTGTGAGTGTGGTTGTTTGGTGCTGCTTGCCCCCAAGGAATTGGGTGGTGACCAAATGGTGACTGTTATGAAGAAGCAACAGTAAGAGGTGGGATTTAAAGTGGGCAGGTCAGGACCATGAACACTTGGCAGTGGAGAGGTGGGGAGGTGAGGTCTGCACAGATGCTGGAAGGATCCACGCCGTCCTCCCCACACGAGAATCCTGCAGCTGACACAAGAACCTCAGCACCACGGCCAGCACCAGCTGGTTTGAGGTTTGAAAGACAGAAAGCTGAGGTTTGAGTCTTCATTTTGGTTTGTTTTGTTTTATTGCCTTTGGGACCGCTTGGCAGCCAGCCCCTGGTGACCCCCCAGCGAGCAGGACCTCGGGGGAGGCAGGAGGCAGACTTGGAGCCTGGCCTTGGACCTTGCTGCTTACTTCTGGCTCCCTCTCCTCCACATCAGGGTTTAAGTCACGCTGAGCAGGCCCTGGCTGGTGTGGCTCAGTGGGCTGAGTGTAGTCCCGTGCACGGAAAGGTGGCCGGTTCAGTTCCTGGCCAGGGCACGTGCTCAGATTGCTCAGCTGATCGATGTTTCTTTCCCTCTCCCTAAAAAATATTTTTTGAAAAGAGACAGCTCTATTGCTCCGTGCACCTGACAGGCATTCGGAGAAGGAATGCCAGAGCCCACCTAGGTGGCCGTCTTAGTGTCTTCCAGGTGTGCCTGAGGCTCATTCCAGCCGCATTCCTCTTCTGGTCCTGGGCCACTTGTTTCTCAGGGGAAGACACGTGGACAGGGACTGAGCATGCCAGGTAAAGGGAACAGGCCCCAAAGACATACCTGGAATGACTTGTTCCCGGCTGGCAATGATAAGAGATTCAGTGTGAAACACCAGAAGCTATACCTTCCTTGGACCCAAACTCCGCAGTTCTAGTTAGTAGACCACCCTGGGCAGAACCTCGGGCCCTTGGAACCTCGTGTCTGAAAGAGCCTAGAGGCTGAGGAAGGGGCTTGTCTGGGTCAGCTTCCCTCAGCGTCTCCCTCCAGTCGTACAAGGAGAGCTGCCATGAGATTTCATCTGCTACTTCCACTCAGACATATGTGCTTTTGGTATCAGCCAAGGGTTTTATATTTATCTTTCTTTTGCTGGTGGGTAGGTATCAGGGTCTCCCAGCAGAAGGCAGGGGCTGGTGGGGCTGGAGATTAGCCCCCTTCACACCTGGGGCCTCATGCTGAGTGAGACTGTCCTTCCTGAGCTCCATGGTCCCGACAGCACGTACTTGGGAGCAGTCTCGGGGTCAGAAGCCGCCCACTCTGCCGGGACCTGCTGGGCCAGGCATGCTGCTCAGTGGTTCTCAGGCTGAGGCCGGAGGGAGAAAGCTGGGTCATCTGGCACTGTTGCTGCCCCAGCGGTCAGGTCAGTAACTGGGAGGCTATTGACAGTGTCCATCCAGAGAGCTAGTGAGACACTAATCAACCTATTGATTCCTCATCTCCCCCTCCCCATTCTCTGCCCACAATCATTGGGGCAACAGAGCCCAACACTGAGGCAGCCAATTAACCACCCCGAGGATGCCATGTGCACCATCTCTGCTCCGCTAGCCACAACCAATCAGCTCATCGATCCACCTCCGGCAGTACTGCCCGGGATGGGAAACTGAGGCCAGGGCCAAGAATCCCCCGTGTACTAACTCTTGTCATCAGTATTGACCTTGGACTTGTCCCAAGGAGACCTTTACCCTCCTGCCCTTTCGCTCATTCCTTCTGTCTTAATCAGAGAGAACACAGATACCACATGTCTCTCTCAGTGCTTCTGAGAAGCTTGTCAGTTCTGTCTCCTCTCTACTCCTTTCCAGTCACCTGAAATGCTCCCAGTTCTCACCTCCCTTCCCCATCTACTGGCTTCCCAAACCTGTCACTTCTACTCAAGCGACCCCATGGAAAGTGCCCAGCCCCCTGTGGTGCTCCAAGCTGTGCAGCCCTGGCCGGCCACATGCCAGGGGGCTGCCTTTGCCACTGGAAGATGGCAGCGAGCTCAGTGACCTCCGGCCCGTGGCAGGAGCGGGCATCCTGCGGCTTTCGGGAGAGTCCAGGGAGACCAGGCAGGAGATGGGCTTTAGGGACAGTTCCCTGGGGAACTGGGAGGACCAGCTGCCCAGTGGGGGGGCGCATGGAGAGGTGTTTCAGCATTCCCCAGCCAGATTCCCCTCCCTCCTCCATCTCCCTCCAGCCTCTGAATCAATACATTTGGAATCTAATCTAATAACAGAGATTTAACGAGGGGATAATGCGTGCGCAGCCAGGCTCTTGGTCTCTCCTTTCAAGCGGCAGCTGGAGCCCATTATCTGGGGACAATGCCCCGCGCTAATCACGCCCCTCTCCTCCCAAGTGCTGGGGAGGGTGGTGGGCAAGAGAGGACAGCTCCTCCCCTCATTGGAGGCGAGTGGAGGTGGGAGGGGGAAGAAGTCAAGAAGGGTCCAGCCGGCCCCACACAATTGTCTTGACCTGACACCAGCCCACGGGCCTTCTCCCCGAGCCCACAGGTCCACCCTGCCAGGCGGGACAGGGAGCCCACAGTGCACACCAACAGCTCGTAATTACCTCTCAGCTGTGGCTCCACTGGCTGGGAGTTGGGTGGGGTTTTTTGTTTCTGTTTTTTTTCTTTCTTTCCTCTAACTTGGTCCTCTATAATTTAAGCTCTCGCACTCAGCCCTGTGATTGGCCAGCCCTGACTGCCATGGTGGGAGAATCATTAAGCCCTGGTTTGAGAGACCATGAATACCCCTCTCTGAAACAGAAACCTGCTCCACATCCGCAGTCTCTCTATCTGGGACCTGACCCCCAAAAGCATGTCTGAGATGATCTAAATTAAAATCCCGGGGCCAGAGTGAGAGAGAACAGCAGCCTCCATAGCTCTGGGCCAGCTCTGACAGACAGCGGCAGTCCTCAGTGTATGTCGGAATTTCAGATGCATTTCCAGGGGGAGATTTTCAATTGTTCTAAAGAGAAAACAGCCAGGCACCTCCGAACCCAGGGGCCTCTGCTTCTGATTTGCACAGGAACTTTCCAGACTTGCGCACAGCCTGTGCAGGAGAGCACTCCTTCCCGGACCCCGCCTATCCCAGAATGCCCTGTGCAGCTTCTGCCACCCCCTCGTCCACAGCTCAGCTAAATCCTTCCAGAAGGCTCGTTTCTCTCCTACTTGAGGTAGAAATACGCAAACTCTCCAGGACGACGTGCGCTGTCGTTCCCGTAGAAATGCTGCTGGTGACACAGACGCCATGCCAGGGACCCAGCGCCAGCAGCAGAGGTGACTAGTCACCTCCCCCCTCCTTCTTTTGCTAACAGTGTCCTAGTAAACCCTTTCTTTTGTTGTTGTTGTTTTGTGTGTGTGTGTTTGTTGTTGTTAATCCTCACCTGATTTCTTAGAGTGGAAGGAAGGAGGGAGAGAGAGAGGGAACCATCCCCCTGAGAGAGACACATCGATTGGTTGCCTCCGGCACATGCCCCGACCAGAGCCAGGGATCAAACCCACAACCCAGGTACATGCCCTTGACCGGGAATCAAACCCCAGACCCTTCAGTGCGTGGGCCAACGCCCTAACCACTGACCACACCAGCCAGGGCATGAACCCTTTTTTTAAAAAAGACTTTCATCCATAAAAGTTCAAATTTTTTTGTTTGACAGGCCTTATAAATGGACTTGACCTGCAGGAGGAGGTGTGATGGTTAGACTGTAGGAAGAACTTCCTAATAATCATTCCTGACCTGAATTAGATTGGGACTCTGAGAGGGAGGGAGTGGACTCTCATTTCCTAGAAGCCTCTACAGAGAGACTTCATTTAGGCTGGGAAGGGGCAGACCAGGGAGGAGAGGAGACCACTCAGGCCCACGGTCAGACTGGAACTGGGAGGCTCCCAGGGTCCCGAAGTGTGGCCACTCTCATTTACTGGGGACAGTGTAAGAGTGGGCTGTCCCAAATGTGGACCTTTGTCCCATCAGGTGGACAAGTGCCGGCCCCGCTGTGCCCTAACCCCCTCACCGGTCCCGTGGCTGTCATATTAGGGCCTGCTCAGGGTGCTCGGGGCAAGGTGCTGGCAACGGGGGCAGAAGCCCAGGGAGGCAGGAGGCTGGAGTAGAGCACGTCAGCCCTCCTCATCCTGCTCACGTCACACTCTGAAGGGGGAGCCATGCCCCAGGGGAGAGTGGAGGAGAGGCCTTTGTCCCTCTTGTCCCCATTTCAGATATGGGCAGGGCAAAGTGAACTGGTCACTCACCATAAGGCCAGTGGGGGCTAAAGGTCCTGTCCCCACCAGGCTGGATTCAGACCTCTGCAGTTTTCACTTTTTCTCTCATTATCAACCCCCTGCCCCATCCCTGACCCTGCGCATTTTCAGCTCCTTTGCAGAGTTCTTCCCTAAAACCAAAGCTTTGAGTTCCTGCTCTAGA